GAGCCGCGGTCCCCGCCGCTGCGCTCGGCAGAGATGCAGGCTGCGCTGTGAGCCCCGGCGCCAAAGCCATGTCCGGGGCCCGCTGCCGGACCCTGTACCCCTTCTCCGGGGAGCGGCACGGCCAGGGGCTGCGCTTCACCGCGGGGGAGCTACTCACGCTGCTGCAGGTCCCGGACGGCGGCTGGTGGGAAGGCGAGAAGGAGGACGGGCTCCGCGGCTGGTTCCCGGCCAGCTACGTGCAGTTGCTGGAGGTGAGGGGCGAGGGCGAGCCGGTCAGGGTCGTCTGCGCGCTCGCGGACCTGTTGCCCACCCCGGGACGTCGGCGCCGCCCACGTCCGGGCCCGGGGGGTGGGAGCCGCGGGCGCCTCGGGCGTCCCCCCGCGCGGGGCCTCCGAGCACATCACACGGTGGCCGCCCAGAGGCAGCGCGAACTTGTTGCTGTGGGAGTTCAGGAGCGGGCTGGAGCGCTCCCTGCAGTTGCAGGGGCCGGCGAAGGGGCTGCCCCACTGGAGTCTGGCCATCTCTGCAAGACACACGGAGGCCTGCGTGTCCGAAAAGTGGTCCCGCCTCGGTCTCCACTTTGGAGCCTGCTCGCCGAGGTCCTGGCCACCTGGGGGCTGCCCATTTGCTGGTCAGCTGAACTTGGCGGGCCTCCAGCCCCAGCCCCATAAACAGGCTGGGAAAAGGGGGTGCCACAGCCGCGAGCAAGGGTCCCCTCCTCTGGACAGCTTCCCAGGCATAAGGTTCCCAGGGCCCGCCCAGCCAAGCCTGCTGGCTGTTTATTTGCTGGGTGACAGTTGGGAAGCTCCACTATCCTCTAGTCTCAGGACTTTTGGATCATAGCCTGAGTGGGACCCGAAGTATCCGAAATTCTTGGATGACAGAGTGACGGTACAGGAGATTCCCCTTGGCTCAAAGGCTGACTGGCCCCAAGATTGCTGTATAAAACTATGTTAAACAATTGGTTGTTGGACAGAATTCATAGTTAGCACAATTGTGTGATGTGTACAGAAATGTTTGGGTAAAACACTGTCCAATGTTGGTAAGGGACAGAATTGATTTATAATTTAATCTCGGCCCTATGCCAAGGACCAAAGTTACACATTTTGACCAAAACAAATGGAGGAGGAGGGGTTGGGGGGAGGGGGAGAGAAAGAGATAGGGTGAACTGGTCAAAGTGTGAGTTTGCCTGACAAGTATCCTGTGGAAAGTGAAAAACAGTTTGACCTTCTCAAGAGACATTATGTCTCCTTCAGGCCAGAGAACAACAGAATTCCTCCTGGAAGGATTAGTAGCACTTGAGCAAAGTGTGTGTGTACTGGAGGGTAAGTGTGTGGTTTGCATCAAGGCTGGAATGAGCTTTTCCCCAGTGTCAGCAGAGGGTGCCCAGGAAATACTTCAGACTCTGTGATTTGAGGGAAAGCACCTTTAGATGGACATAAAGGTTTTCAAGGTCAGCAGTTTGAAACCACCAGCTGCTCCTCAGGAGAAAGTTGAGGCTTTCTATTCCCATAACGATTCACAGCCTCAGAAACCCACAGGGTCAGTTCTACCGAGTCTTGTAGTGTCGTTATAAGTCAGAATTGACTAGATGGCAGTGAGATTTAAATATGTCTATGTATAATATATGTGTGTATCTATATACAAATATATATGTGTGTATATATATTATATATATGTAAAGGAGACTCAGGCGTGTTCCTCGTTTTTCCTACTTTTTCCCTGCCATGAAGATGTAAAAGCAAGCAAGTATTTTGCTGTTTATGGAAGACCTGGCCTATGAGGTTTCTCCTTGTTTCTGGTTTAAAAGCCCTGGGAAAGACACATGTTTTGGGAGCGCCTGTGGTGGCCACACTTTGGCAGGAAACACCGATGTGGAAATTTGGCTGGTAGATGTCGGTCCCCTGAGGAACCTGTCCGACTGAAATCAGCCAGCTGTGTTTTGAGGGGCTGTGAGGTTGGGGGCTTGCAGTGTGTGAGAAGAAATGAGGTGACTTCTTTTTTGTTGGGGCAAGGGAGGTGCAGGTGACAAGCAAGATTATCAGTTGAGACAATTTTGGGTATCATGATGTCAGTTGGCATATACTTACACTTAGGAAATCTGGGTGCCTGGGGGCTTCCAGGCAGTTAACCCCCAATTGGTAAGCAGCATACATGGGAACCATCCTCCTCTGGGCCTGGGCCTGGGAGTGGCTTCCATTTGTTGGAGGAGCCCTAGTAACGTTGAGCTGGTCATTGGCTGCTAACCAAAAGGTTGGCAGTTCAAACCCACCACCTGCTACGTGGGAGTAAGATGAGGCTGTCTGTTCCAGTAAAGATTTACAAGCTCAGAACCCCATGCCAGTGGAGCTTTTTGGTCTCATTTGGGACCTGCTAATTGCTAGGGGTGGTATATACATTATCCCCAGTTCCTGAGGAGACAGGTCAGTGAAAAGTCCATGGAGGACTATTCATAGATCTGTTACTGGCTGAGGTGACTGATTCCTTTCCTTGCCTTTTTCTAACATCATCGTCTCAACTATGCTGAAGGCTAGTGATGGAAGGAGTGAGTAAAGCATTCTCAGACCCTGGCATCAGCGTGTTGGTGACAACATCCCTAACCGCCCAAACTAAACTCACTGCCCTATGGTCAACTCAAACTTGTAGAGACCCTATAGGACTGAGCAGAACTGTTCCCACGGGGTTCTGAGACTATAAATCTCTATGGGAGCAAAAAGCCTCATCTTTTTCCCAAGGAGTGGCTGTTAACTTGGAACCGTCCGCCCGTGGTTAGCCCAATGTTTAATCCACTCAATACACCACCTATCAGGGCTTGTAGCATCCCTTCCCACCCAACCAAACCAAACCAAACCAAACTCACTGCTATTCAGTCAATTCACAGCAACCCTATAGGATGAGGTAGAACTGCCCTTGTGGGTTTCTGAGACTTTGAATTTCTTTTCTTTATGGGAGTAGAAAGCCTCATCATTCTCCCTTGGAGCAGCTGGTGGTTTTGAAGTACTGACCTTGCTCTTAGCAGCACAGTGCATAACCCTATGCCACCAGGGCTCCTTCGAATCCCGTAGGGAGGGTGAAATGCTGGGGCTCACATAGAGTGTATGGCAAATCTCTTGTGCTCGCCCCAACCATAGCAATCTGTAGGATTTTCGTTGGCTGATTTTCCACAAGTAGATCACCAGGCCTTTCTTCCCAATTTGCTTTAGCTTAGTAGCTCTACCGAACCCGGTTTAGAATAGTCCGTTTCATTTTACCCAGAGGCACCTGGTTTCCTTCTATTGGAGGCTGGGACTTTGTGACCTGAGGACTGGCTAGGGTTCTTTACAGAGTTAGAAGCACAAGCACTTTTCAACAGGTAGGGTTACAGTGCCGATCCAGTGCCTCTGGGAACCTCATGCATGAGTTAGCTGGATCCGGCTGTGAGTGCTAGGCAGGGATGGAAGATGTGTAAGTAGGGCACTCGGGGGTGGCGGGTAGACTGGCCAGCACCTAGCATCATGAGACTGGGGGAGCTGTGGCCAGCAAGGTAGTCATCAAAGCAGGGAGTTGTTTCAGAAGCCAAGAGAGCAGAGGGGGCACCATTGATGCTGCTGGTGGGAAGCCTCGTAATGTTAGGCACTCCGGGTGCCTGGCACCCAGCTTGCAGGCACGTGCTGCTCAGAAGCCTGGGCAAACGAGAGCTGACAGAATGACCCATGCCACAAGCCTCACGGGGGAGTGATGGGATGGTGGGTTGATTTCATCTTTATCTGAGTGTGAGGGGTTGCTGCTAGCAGCTTTGGGTTGACTACCAGCTCCTGGCCACCCCATACACAATGGGATCTGACTGTTGCCATCCGTGGGGTTTTCATTGCTGATTTTCTGCAAGTAGATCACCAGGCCTTTCTTCCTAGTCTGTGTTAGTGAGACAGCTCTACTGAAACTGGTTCTGAATAGTCAAGAATAGCACCTTCAGGGAAACAGCAATCCCAGGGTACCTTTGTCCGTTGGTGAAAAGGAAGCCCCATTCCCGTGATGGGGCTTAAGGTGGGGAGGAGGGACTCCTGTTAAGAGCACACAGTGCAAAACAAACACTTCCTGAGCCGTGCTTCCTCATTCGTGTAAGGAAGAGGAACCGAGAGGGCCTAGCTTTGCAGGATGTATAGCCAGTGGAGGGGTGTTGGGAATAGTCAGGGCCCGAGATCTGCCCTGGTGACCAACTAGCCCCTAGGAAAAGTCATCGGGGTGAAGGTTCTGGGCCTGGTGACTGAAGAAGTCTCTTTGCTCAAGACTCTGAGGAAATAACCTGGCTTCCAGCCATTTGGGAAGATGTCAGTTCTAGCAGGTAGAAAGAAGGCCTGGTGAAGTATGGTGGCCTATGGGTTGGGCTGCTAACTGCAGTTCAAAACCATCAGTTGCTCTGTGGGAGAAAGATGAGCCTTTCTGTTTCTAAAGAGTTACCGTCTCCGAAACCCATTGAAGCCGTTCTACCGTGTTCTATAGGGTCACTGTGAGTCAGAATAGACTCCCTGACATTGAGTTTGATTCCAGGTTTTGTAGATCCTAGGAATCTGCCCCTAAGAACCTTGGCTACTCGGCAGATGGAACAGCCCTCCAGTGGGTTGTAGAGGCCAGAAACAGCACAGAGCCAATGGATACCAGTGGTTGAGTCCATTCTGACTCATGTTAACCCCATATATCTCCGTGTGGAGATACCTTCTAGTCCCTAGAGTTTCCTTGGCTGTGATTTTTACAGAAGCAGTTCCCAAGACCTGATTTTGGTTGTGTCTCTGGGTGGGTTTGAATCACCAAACTTCAGATTCATAGTCAACGATAAACTGATTGCACCATCCAGGGGCTTTGCGAGTTGCCTGATCCCTGCACCCCCCAAAGGTTTGAGGCCAGACCCATAGCTGTTGGTGAGAAGTTTAAGAAGCCCTTAGATAAGAGCAGGTGGACAGGTCTTAGATCCCCAGGTTGGACAGAGAGTGAAGTGCTCACCTTCTAGATGAAAGGTGGGCAGTTGAACCCACCCAGCTGCACCGTGGGGGACAGGCCTGGCAGTCTGCTTCTGAAAATGTCATTCCTTGAAACCACACCGAGCAGCTCTGCTGTGCACACGTGGGATCGCTGTGTGTCAGACTCAACACAACCGCAAGCACAGCAGCAGTGACCCTGCCTTATCTGAGACTCCTCCTCCGCTGTGGAGGAGAGGCCCTGAGATAGCTTCTAACAAACATCTTGTGAGGCTCCTGATTGAGGAGGAGGAGAGATA